TAAGAATAGATACATATTTAATTTAAATTTAGAAGACATCATAATTAAAGTATCATTATTGCTTTTAAAAACAGGTGATAGATAATGATACCTATGGTCCTTTTAGAAAATTTATAATACATAATACACTAATTCATTTAAAATAAATTTTCAACATACATATGTGATTTAAAAATCTCATCATTATGAATAGCGATAATAAACAAAGTACCCACCAATATATGTATCTATATCTATCTATCTATACCATATATATAAACATTTAGGTTATTATATTAAATACAAATCCTTAAGCATAAGTTACAACCATTTTATGCAAGATTTTCAAAAAACTCTTAAGGACAAGTCACAAAGCATATGGTACAAATTATTGATGCATTTGTTTTACGGAGCAAATCCAGCAAATATTGGGGCTTTTTTTTGGGGTAAGGTCAAAAAGCCTTTCTCCACTTGACTGTTCAATTATTGATGCATTTACTTGATTTAGTAAATCAAGCAATATTAATTATTTTAAAAACACTTAGTGTTCAAAATTCAAAATTGTTGCTTCATCCAAGGATTCTTCTTCCCAACAAATTTCCTTCAATTTTAAATTTATCTATAACCTTCTCCACTCCACCTATCTCCATCTCTCGACTTTCTCCACCTCTACTCACCGTGACTTGATTTATCCGTTTCTTGACTATGTGGTAGTCTTCATATTGATGTTATACATGTTTTCTTGTGCTAAATTCATGTGTTTAGGAACACAAAGTGTTTGGTGAAAGTTCTCTACGATGTATTCTAATGTAGGTGTTTATCTACCAGAATCAGTTTTCTCACACGGGCAACTTTACGTGGCGTTGTCCAGAGAGATATCACGGGGGAATACGAAKGTGTTAGTGAAGCCTGTTATAAATTTCAATCGTGCCGGAGTCTACACCTCAAACGTCGTCTATCAAGAAGTTTTACGTGATGAATAAGATATAATCAACAATTATATTATTACACATTTTGTACCATATGTTTCTATTAAAACCATTGCGCCGTTTTTTGCAGGAAATATTTACGGATGAGTGCATCACGAAAAGCAAACAACAGTTCGAATACACGGATGAACATTATTTTACGAACGATTGTATTTCTTTGTTCATTCAAGAATTTCAAGTTTTSTAATGAGCTCTGAGTAGATKGTTTCAAGAAACCCAACATATGTGCAATTTTATTTTAATTCGATCTTGCTAACAAACAAAATTGACCTTTAACTTTATATATTAGTTGACTTGTAAAATAACCACACAAACTCATGATTCAAAGCCAAACTAATGTTTTCGAATTGTGATTTACCCGCGCTGCATCGCGCGGGTACACCACTAGTATAAACATAAAGATTTAAATTATTAAATCTAATAAAATAACCCGAATATTACAACATTCAKTCTCACCACTTAAGGGCAATCATTAGTTTGAAACCAGAGATCTTCAATATCTCATGGTTATGCCTATAAGTGATATATAAAATATTAGCCATAAACTCCAAGTATCCTAAACCAGAGCATCTGGTTATACACACCAGAGCCTCTGGCCATTTAGAATCACAAATTAATTTTTGGCAAAAAATTTCATCGCCTTTGGAACCAGAGACCTCTGGTCCAAAGTAAATACTTGGTATTTTCTCACCAAGTATTCCACTCCAAACCAGAGCCTCTGGTTGTATAAACCAGAGCCTCTGGATTCCAATTCTTTGAGACCGGAGCCACTTTGGTCTCAAACTTGGACTTCCTTGATCATTCATGCATGTATTTACGTAATTATCCATCATCCTTTGGCATCAGAGACCTCTGGTCCAAAGCCAATACTTTGTGAACTTTTTCACTAAGTACTYTTTTCTCAACCAGAGCATATGGTTCTAAAGACCAGAGCCTCTGGATTCAAAGTCTTTGAAACCAAAGCCCTCTGGTCTCAAAGGCACACCYATTCTACCACCACATACATGCACTTAACCAATTTTTCATATTMYKTTGCATCGCCTTTGCAACCAGAGCCCTCTGGTCTCAAAGACTCCATAGTTTCATACCTTTTTGCATATTCTTCACCATTCCTTCATAACTATTTTTCATCACCTTTACAACCAGAGCCTCTGGTTCTAAAGACCAGAGCCTCTAGATTCGTTGTCTTTGGAATCAGAGCCTCTGGTTCAAGGGGGAGTTTTAAACTCAATCTCCTCTCCATGCATCATTCTAARAGGAGCTTTTCATTCATCATAAAGAACTTTCCATTGCATAAATATGCATTTTCCATCCCAGAGCCTCTGGTTCTACTATCCAGAGCCTCTAGACACCAAAATGGTAGATAAATAATGAATAAAACATGTGTATGCAACCAGAGCCCTTCTGGTCCTACAACTTGGGTTGTCCATGCTTAACCAGAGCCTCTGGTTTGTCTATCCAAGGCTCATCATGCATACAGCCCAACAATTCATCAATGAAATTATTTATCATGCGCAACTAGAGACCTCTGGTTCCTCATCCCAAAAGGGTATGTTTAACCAGAGACCTCTGGTTCCCCATCCAATGAGTCATGACCAACCAAAGCTCTTCTGGTTCCCTGACAAAATAATTTTCATCCAAAAACCCATCTTAATTGCAAACTTTTTGAAGATTATACAAAATTGCAGCTTTTGTGACTAAAAACTATACTTCATGGGTTTTTAGAAGACCAAAACTTCGTAATTAGTATTAATCTTACAATTAGATGAATTTTAAATATAAATTGTTTTTGGATTGATATTTCAAGAGATATTATTTGAAATAATTTTTAATAATCCAAACGTCACCTTACACAAAAGCCTGCCACATTTACAGACTGTTCCCCATAAACCTCTTCASATTACCCATCCATCCTCCCCATGACGATACGTGTCCTCCCACATTAATGGCACAGTACCGTCAAGACGGCCCACGATCCCCACAAAATCACATTTTTGCCAAACGTCTCCCACTATCATGATTACCATTTTAATATTATTTTTTTGCCTGTTCCCCTCCTCCACCTATAAATACCTATCTTCCCCAAACCACTTCTTCTTTACGCTCCYAAAACCTGCAACTTCATTCAAACGATCTGAAAAACRCAAAACYTGCAACTTCATCCTGCAATGGCATCTTCTGCCTCACACGAATCAAACAACAACGATAGCCATGTGCAATCAACCGGCGCTGACAGCCGTGCACTAGTGTTCCTTCGAATAAAACCAAACAACCACGCGATCGACCTACGAACCAACCTGTTTGAAGACAGGTTTGCTATCATGATAGAGTTCTTTTAGAATTGTGTTCTMCAATCGGTGTTGACTTTAACAGACAATGGCGTACCTCTCAAGTACGTCCAACAGTACTGGCAGACCTGCGAGTATATCCCGGATAGCCATGGAATCTTGGGGGATATTGACGCCCCAAATGACATGATCTGCTCCGTCAAGATCTCCTGGACAAAGGTCTCTAAAGTCCTTTGCATTCCCACATGCCAAGAACTTGGCATTKACCACTACGCCGAGTCACCCATGAGCTTCGACATCMTTCGCTTTATCTTAATGCWAG